GTTGCCTTTTTAAGAGTTTTTGAGTCATTGTTTTTAGTGAAAGTAACTGATATTGAAGCTTTTCTCAATGGACTTGAAAATTTAGATTTTCAAAATGTTCTTCGAAAATAAATTTATTCATCTTGGAAAGAAACGCATAGCAATACATATTTTTATTATCTATACGCTTGGCAAAAAAAAAAGATAGTTTTATTTGATTAAATAAAGTCAGAATAGTTTCTAGTTCAAAAAGAATTTTTTCAAAGCACATTCTCGAAGAAACAATCTAAATTAGAGTTGAACTTGTTACATATAGCCATTTTGACAAATTTATTTTTCGTTATTTCTTGTCAGCTAAATAATCTTTGCACGTAAATCGTTACTGAAAATATATATATATATATTATCACAGACTGTATAGGAATAACGTCTAGTTATAATATTTGAACTTTTTTCCGTCTTGCATTTTTTGAAGGATTAAGTAACAGATTGATGAAGAAATGTTTCCCAAAAACCAATAGAATAAAACAATTTCTCTATGATTAGCAACAGAAGGTGCATCGTGTTTTTTATCTTAATTGTGCAAAGATTGCGCTAACAAACTTTTCGTTACAAGCGACCTAATCACACAATGATAACTTATTTCATTTAGTTTTGATGGTAATTTTTTTTTTTATTGAACCTAATTCGATATCTGTTCATCTTCGATGTGCAATGAGATCTTGATATAGCAAAGTAATTCAGTTTTTGTGAAAGTCATTCTGATATATTTCAGAATGATATTCTATTATTGCAATTACAATCATGTGATGATGAGATAATAAATTAGTTTTTCTAGAGTTGCTCAGTTCAAAATCAATGATTTTATTTTTAAAATAAATTCCGATGATGCCATTACGAAAAAAAGAATTTGTTTAAAGATAGTGAAATTTTTCATCGAACCTTTTATCATGATTCATAAATGTATATATAGAGGACATTTAAACTTTCGCCTTCTAATAGTCTACATGAGTAGAATAACAAAACCGGCTAGAACAAGTTTGTATCTTAATCCAATCGAGCATGTAGAAATAAATATTGGTTAAATTTAAATTTTTTTTTTAAATACATTTCATCAACCTTTTATTTGCAAAATTTGACATTATTGCTAGCCATGTCATCTTGCTTTGAAAAAAAAAGAATACGAAATTGGAAAAATTGCCTTACAAATATCGCATAGACCAATAAATAATGTTGTTTATGAAAGTCTATAATTCAAATTAATGATCAGTAGTCTCCATCTGAAATAAAGTATTTATCATGATGATTAATTATTGTGAGAAGACGCAAGTCTTAAAGGAGTATCATGGGAAATCTGCTAGTTATGAAAAATTTTTTTGATTATCTTAGCAAATATGCTGTTCGTAGCGTGTTGAACAGTTATCTCACGTGAAAGTATGGATAGTTTATCGAAAATTTTCTTTTTCGATTGATGTACAGTGTAGCGAATGTCATAGTGCATAGAAGAATAGATTGATCTATTCTCAAATATTGTCTTTAATCGAATGATATATTTCTAGTGTATCTGTCTTGCTGGTTGCTCTAGTGCATATTCAAACTCAGCTTTACCTAGTGGTAGCTTTAGTGGAGCAACAGCGTTTGGCTATTGGGATGATCTTTATATATATGCCGGTACATCTCAAACCGTCTATTATGGTACAACAGGAACATATCCTAATCGAAACTTAGTCTTCGAGTTTTACATGGCTCATTACTCCTCGGCGAGTCTATATTATCACTTCCAAATAGTGTTCTTCGAGGCTACACCTAATGTCGTCCAATATTTATATTACCAAGCATCAGATGGAGGTGGTTCAGCCACAATTGGTGTTCAAAGTAAGTGTGTTTTCACATAGTTGTTATGCATTTTTGATTGATTTCTTTTTCTTTCTAATAAAGGTACGGGAAGCGGTCCCAGAATACAATATTCTTACAACACGGTTAGTGTACCATATGGTACATCATCAACAAACACACCGACATTAACACTGACATTCAATACAAATACAGGCACATATACAAGCTCTGGATAAATCAAACAAAGAAACAACAATTACATTTTTAATGACATTTTTTCTTTGATGACCTTCTGCACTTAGACATCGTATCAGTGTCACATAATATGTTTTTTTGTTATTTTCCATAACTCTTGCAATTTTTTATCACATTTTATTAGTTCGTAATCATGAATTCTCATTTACTAATACTTTTTTCTTCTTTCTTATGCTTGAATAAAGGCCAACAAGAAAATAATGTGTACGTTTGTTAGATGCAACAATTCAAACATCAACTTAAACTTTTTCTTTGTCGCTTTATACATACTTTGTCAGAGTGTGAACTGCTGATCATGAAAAATTAGTTCTTAGTGTTAATAAACACTCTTTTTAGATTGAACAATGTCACAAACTTGAAAGGTGTCGCTTTTCTCGAAAAGTTGCAATGTTTATAAACCATTTTTGTAAACCTATCTACTAGTTTTTGTTTAGTTCAGTGAGCAAGTAGAATATATTATCTTGCTCGATTTATCATATCACCGATTACAAAAGCACGCATTGCTATTCTCTTTTTTTCTTTTTTTGTCGAGAAAAATCCTTTTCAGTAGTATGTAGTACATCGTGACATGTTAGTTCTATACCTTCGCAACAATAGTATAAACCATCTCGTCGGAACTATAAGTATAGTCTTATTTATGAGGTGAGAGAATGTTAGTGAACAACAGTGCCTTGTTGAAAAAAAAAGAAAGCGTGGTTGCTATGATTGTAATCGTTTAGTTTTTGAAAAATAAAAAAAAATAAACAGTATTAGGCGAAGTTAACACTAGAAA